TTCTGTCTCAAGTGCTGGGATTACAACTGTGTACCACCATGCCCCGCTCTATAGAAACTTCTCTCTTCAGTACAAATAATCAATGAAGAGATAATAAAGAACAGCGTTTAATTTTATGCCAAGGATTTATTTTGTAACATAGAATATTGAAAAGCTTTCCCAATTCTTTTATGACAGGGGCTATAGGTATCTGCTAATGCCACAGATTCTAGTTAAATAGGGAGTACTCTTCCCCTGGATGATGGGTCAGCAATCCAAACTTGCTACTTAACCCTGAGGCCACTGTGGGTTACTGAGAATCTAAGAAGACTAACCACTAACCAGCCCCACAAACCCGGGGTGGTTGGAGTCTCTGAGGAATGTGTAGCCCCAATACTCTGATGTATCCAAGATCAGCCTAGAGCTCCCTGCTGTCATATCTAAAGGCAGCCTGTGTACTTTAATTTTCTCACCTGAAAAATGTGGATAGCATCTGCTCCATCTAATTTACAGGCAGGGTGGAAATAGATGTGATAAAACGAAAGGCTCAGACTGTCAATAAAGTCCATTCTCCCCCCCCCAGCCCCAGCAAAACTGAACTACTGAAAAAAAGCCATATAAGAACATTAGGGGGCTTCCCCCCCCTCTTTTCTCTATACTCCAGTACATCAGAATTATAAGTTAGGTGGAAGAGTTCAAAAGCCCAGAAAATATGCCAATACTTGGTCCTGGAATAAGATAATGATTTTGTTTGGGGAGTTAAGATTATTTTAACTAGCAAGGCATTCCTAGTCATTTCTCTGCATAATGCCCCAACTTGGACACATAGGAAATTCAGCAAGAGGAATTTGTACTTATCAGAAATCATGAAAATCAGGTTTTTCCTGTCTGGGACAGATACAGCTCTCAGAATGGGTCTTGCCTGAGCCTCCCTTCCTCCTACCCTCACACACTGGGCACAGAAAGAAAGCTCCTTGTACCTACCTTAATGGAGGACAAGACAAGGGGGGGAAAGAATGAGCAAGATTTCCAATGCTCTAGAACTTCAAATATCTAAAGGAACCAGTATATATTTTAAGACATCAAAGACAGAAACAATGACAATTGAAATTTCATAAAGTTAGAATAAAAGGTATACTTTTGATATTCCCATTCTATCATTGCTTTAATTATGTATAATTTAATGCTAAGAATGGTTGCTATAATTAATTTAAAAATATCTTTGGAGTCCAAGAGGAAGCACATGTACTAGAGTCCAGATTGAAAACTGATCACGAACCCATTTCTTGTCATTGGTAGATTTCTGGGGTACCCATCATCACCTCCCCAGTACCAAAGGGAGAAATGCAGGTAGAAGAGAGCCCCCCCTACACTGCCCCTCTTCATAAGGGTAATTCCACAGCTTATTGAACTCCTATCTAAAGGTTGTCATTGCAACTTTGTGCAATGTTTTGCTCCAAACAATTCACTTAATTCAAACTGTAAATCTTTATTATAAGGATTTCGTTTTCCTAAGCAGTAATTCTCTCTGCTCTGATGGGGAAAGGAATGATTTGTTTTTTTCATTACTGGTTATTTATAAGATATCTACTCTAGATTAGTCCTGCTTGAGTGACATCCTAAATGGCTCCATTCCCCAGCAGTACTCTACTTCTGATGTGAGACTGACAACCTCTACTTAGAATGTCTTTCATGGTACACAATGAAGTGTAAAACTGCTGTGAAAAAGCCCATGTTTCAAAACAAACCATCTCTATAATAAGCACTTAAAACACTTTTCATTAACATATTTCTTTGTGTATAAAACAAAAGTTTAATGCTACAACATGGCCTTTGACAATTTTTTAAAAAAAATAAACACTATTTCAATTTTTACCTAGACTGAAATAATGAAAATGTTAAGTCAGGCTTGTTTGAAATTTGACCCACATACACACTTAGTACTTGTGCATATTGTGTTTTTCTGACCAAAATATTAAAGTTCAATAAAGATGCAAAGTCAAAAGCACGAATTAGTAAATACAGAATCTTACCACCTTTCCATCTCAGGTATTAGCAAATACCTTTGGTCTAGAGAGATATGGTCCTGTCTAATTCTTATCTGAATTTTCAATCAAGACTTCAGAGCCACAGATATCTGCACACACTTTTATACACCATTCTGCTCTCTTAATTTCAAATGACTGGACCCAAATCAAATCAGGCTTCAAATACACTGAAAAGTAAATGTCTAATGTCTAATTGAACTAATAGTTAGCATTCTTTAATAGAGCTAATGATTAATGCCAGCTGTAGGCAGCCAGGAGCTACAGGGTAGAAGAAATGAACAAATGAACAGCATTAAAAAGAAAGGAAGGAAAGAAAGAAAAGGAAGAAAAAAAGGAAGTGAAGGAAGGAAGGAAGGAAGGTGGAAATAGAAAGAAAATTTTCTTTGGATAACTGTCAAGAAATTATGATTATTCAATTTCTCAATATAAATATAAAAGCAAGCAAATTCATATTGTTTCTTTGCTGCCATACCTCCTCCCTCCATCTAAATGTGCTCTGAATTAGATTGCCATTCACTTCCATTAATTGTCACTTCCAATAGGACATTGTAAGAGCTTCAAAATGAAGCACTTATGAGTTTTCTTTTCCAATCTCTTGTGGGCTTCTCTCAGTTTATCACAAATGAACAATCATGTTAGAAGGGGCTCTGTCTGTTTAATGACATTAGCAATTGTTTCATAAAACAAACAGCCACTCTACCATTCAGCTGCAGCTAATCTTAAATCTAAATGTGGTGGCACTCAGGGAGCGCCTCAGCCGCAGTTTGTTCTCACCAATGCAGGTCTCACAATCTACTGCAAGTCAAGGGCTTATCTCTCTGCTAGGCTCACAGCAGGGATTTCTTTGTCCAAATACTAAACCAAACCAAGTTAACTTTCTGCATCCAGAATTTTTTTTTAAAACCCTGGACAATTTTTTTAAAGCGACTCAAAGTCTACAGTATACTTATGTATTGACTGTACTATTTTACAAATATTTTCTCAATACTGACAAAGTCAAATTGTTTTTCAGGTTGGTGCCTGCAAGCTAGCCTAATCAGTGAGTTTGGGAATCCTGCCTGATAAAAAGCTAAACTGAGAACAAAAACACATTTACAGACTTGGGAACAGTGGGAGCTTGCAAATGACAAGGAATTCAGGGGATCATAGGCTCATAGCAGGGTCTAATTATCCCTACATTAATTATGCTCTACTATTATTATCTTAAATACCAAGAATATCATAATTTAATACTTATTTTGCCATGTATAGGGCTAAGCACTCATGGAATATTAGTTTCTATATTAAAATAAAATTTAGCTGAATTAGCTGAATAGTTCCTAAAAAGGAATTTTTAGGTAAAGTATCTGAGGCTTAGAGAAGTGAAGAAACTTGCTGGGGGCCATCTTGCTGGTACCAGGCACACTCATCATTTAAAACAAAGCCTAACTGGTTTTCAAAGCACATGTTCCCAGCTATAAAGTCTTTTTAGAACTGGTTATGATGCTAATTTGAAAGCCCATGTCTATAATAATCACACATTCTGCAGTTCTTGACAGATTTTAATTTATAAATTTTTGTATCTCTGCTAGCAGTGTGTCCCAGATTTTCAATGGAAAATAGGACCATAGTCCTAGACTGGAATTCCCAGAGGTAGAAATTGCTTATTGCTACCCAGGACTAGATAACTTCCCAATTTCACAAATATAGCTTGACTGAGAGACTTGGGCCAAGTTCTTCATTCAAGTCTCCACAGGTGGGAACTTCTGGGTACCAGCTATGGCACTGTATCCCCTCAAAGTTCCTCAGTGTCTCCCGCACCCACCACATGGTCATTCTTTCTTTCACTATGTGTTTAAATGTCTGACAGCTCTTTTGCTGGCTTCTTGCTCAATTTTTAAAACACTTTTATTAATTTTAAGTTTTCACCTGAGCCATAATATAGCCAAAAGAGACTTCAAGGCAGAAATCCAAGTCTAAAGCTCATTACACAGCACTGAATAGTCATTTGGTCAGCCAATCAGCCAGAAGACATTTATTGAGTAGTTCTTACAGTCTAAGCTCAAGGCCAGGTACCAGGCCTAATATTTGTTTCTTAATATAATATTACACGAGCATAACAACGTTTTCTTGCCCTAATAATTTGTTAAAGAGAATTTGAAGGTCACACTTCATTCATTTTCCTTTGCATTAACCTACTGGAATGATGTTCTCCTCTCCAGAGAGAATAAGCACTATTGTCTCCAAGCAGGTACACATGTACTTCTCCCCTCACCTGGCTAAGTCCTACACAAACTTCAGATCTTTCCTGGCTATACCCAGATTCACTGCATCCCTACATGGCATAAGTGTCCCTCTGTTAAGCCTCCATAGCATCTAGGGTTTTTTCCCAGTGATAGCACTTATATCATGTGCCTGTCTCCCTCAAGTCTGAAAGTACCATGAGAAATAGGAACTGGTCTGTCTTGTTCACAATTGCCTCCACCACATGAAGGACAAGGCCAGATACAGAGGTGGCCTGTGGTGAATAATGCCAGATTGGATGGATGGATGGGTGGATGGGGGATTTGTTATTCTCATAACAAATCACAAATATCTGAAAATGTTTTAAATGAAGATAGGATGCACATGCACACATACTCTAAAGAACAGCAATCACCTGATAGTCTGGCTGAGATTTTGCTGTTCTATCTTTAGAACTGAGAGGAAATAAAGGACTTTTAGATGAAGTGTTTTTTTTTTTTGAGCTCAGAGGCTTTATTTACAATGATACTCAAACAGGACTTCCCCAGCATGTCTTAGCAGCATGGACTGTACTTCATAAACAAAAACAGGATTATCCCAGGGTAGAGACATGAACTCTCTCTTCAGATGTGTCCTCTAAGTCCCAAATAAATTCCTTGGTCCCTGGCTCTGAGGTGACTGGGGGACCCTTTGTAGCAGTTGGTGCATCCCATTGGGGAACATGTCCAGGGAAGACTGCCTAGGAAATCTTCAGGCCTTTACCTCACTCATGGCTTCCATAAGGCGAGTGCTGTTTGTGACAGCTGTCGTCAGAAAAATGAACCTGTATCCTTTCTCTCTGCCTACACACCTCAGGGCGGAGATCTCAGAGAATGTACAACCACCTAAGAACACCACCAAGACGAGGCGCAGGGACTCACTGGAAGCCTATCTTCCTTGGTCATGGCTGTGAATGCAAACTCACTGCAGTTGAGCAGTCGTACCACCTCATCGAGGCCCTGCCAGCTCTGCCGCTCCAGCACCTGCTCAATGATCCCGCAGCTCAGGGGCACATAGGCCCCACTGAAGACGTAAGCCATGTCTGGAGGCACTTTCAGGTCATACTCGCCGTCCACACGTGGGATCAAATTAAGCTTTTTGCTGATGGCACAAAAATTGCTCCTCTTGGCAAGAGAAGTGAAGGCATCTGTAATCTTTCCTGCAGCCTTGTCAGTCACCAGCTTGCTCACTTTGCTCTCCACTGCCATGAGGGTTTCCCCTGGAACCTGCTCTGTTAGGAACCCAGCTCGCCGCAGATTGGAGAAGGTTAGTAGGTGCTCAGGGCCATACTCTGCATATACTGTGTCTTCAGGGATCGGTAATCCTTAGGAATCAAACCATTCTCAGTGATGGACAAAAGGCACATGAGATGAAGGCTTTCTATAGGTGACACTTGCCGGTCAATGTGTTCTTCAGTATAGTTGGTACTCTCTTGGATGTTGAACCCCTCTAGCAGAGCATGCTCAGTCTTGATGAGCTCTTGGAAGTCCTGCTTGGTTTTCTTCCTCATGATGGATTCACAGGCCCCAATATGCAGACTCAGCAGACAATGCTCCTGTTTCAGTCCCTTGAGCTCCTGGGACATGAAATTCTTCATCTGCTTTATGACCATGCCTCTCCAGCGATCATACTGGGCCTGCAAGTTCTGGGCCTTCTGGCTCAAGGAGCCAAAGACATCGGGGAAATGCTCATTACGAATCTCATTAAACACCTTGTCCTCAGCATTGAGGAGCACCTTCAGGCTCTTGTCAGAGGACGTGACTTCCGGGCCAAAGTCGACACTCCCACACTTGACGTGGAAAGTGTCATCTACCAGGCCCTCCTAAACGACCCAGGAGCAAAGTGCTGTCACAAAGTCCACATCTCTGTCCAGGAGAAAGACATGTCCAACCTCTGCTCTACGGCCTTTGGTCTCACTGTCCTCGTCCTCCAGTTTCCTCCACAGTTCATACGACATCTTGGCGCATCTGCCAATCCCGTAGCAATTCAGAAAGGATCCATAGAGAATGCTGAGAAGGTGTAGGGCCTGAGCCACAGTGCTGATCCAACGCTGATCTACTTCCACGAAGTAGTCCCTGAAAAATTCTGGCAGTTCCATGCTGAGCAGATCCACATCAAGAGGCAGTAGAGAGAAGGCCCATTCATCACAGCTCACATCTCCATAGACTCCCTCTTCCTCAAGCACCATTTCACAGGAGTAAAACTTCTGAGGGCTTAAGATCACTTTGTATTTTGAGCTTGTCCAGCCAATTTGTCAGCATTGACAAGATTGGCAATGTAGCGCATATTTTTGATTCGGGGTCTGTGCCAAGAAGCACAGTTGTTTATTAGAGCCGAGGGAGGGCTGGCTTGCTCTCCACCTTGTACAGCTTGTCTACTTCATGTTGCTTCAGGATGGAGACGCTGGCAATTCTATCCAAAGGGCTCATGAGATCTGCCTCGATGAACAGATCCTTCTTCCCAGGAAGCTGAAGGAGACAGTCTGTTGAGTCACTTGTAGATCACACAGCTCCCTCAGTTGACAACCTGCTCCAGCAGGTAGATGAGCTGGTCTTGGGTCAGCCTCTTGAGCATAGAGAAGTCGGGCAGCTCCAGGGCGTCGGATCAGTGGCGAAAGGCCATGGCAGCGGTCACCTGGGCCTCCGTGTTGAAAAGCGGGAGCCCTCTGCCGTGGAAAGGCCGGCGGCAGCCAGGCAATCGACACAGGGTGCTATCCCGCACGCCGAGGCGTGGAGGCCCAGAGTATCCGGAGATGCACCCGAAGAGTGAATGGCCCTCTCCCCGGGCGGGACAGCCGCAGCCGCGGGGTCGTCGCCTCAGACCTGCAGCCACCTTGTCCGACCTAACCCTCCCCGGTCCACTCAGCCTGTCAGCAGGATTCCAAACAGACTCCACGGCAAGCGTGTGGAGAGAACCCCGCCTACGGCCGGCTGGAGAGAAGTGCAGCCGACTTCTCCTAGGTGAAGTTTAAAAAAAAAATCCCAGAGATGAGAGGGCACACTTCAGCAGGTGGGTCAGAAGACAGAGGACATGGATATTTTTTGTGTTTGCAATTTTCACAGGGAAATTAATATTTTATCAGGATGCAGATTCAGTTCAATTTGACTGGCAGCTTCAACCTACTGTTCCAAGTCCTCCTCAACCACCTGCTGGAAAGAGTTATTAAGGTCTAGGTGAGAAATAAAAGAAGGCCTAGAAAGAGTTCAAGACTAATATTTGTTTCTTAACATACCAACTATACTAATATAACACTTTTTCTTCATAAGAAAGTGAGAACTATGGGTGTAGTACTGCACATCTATAATCCCAGACATTCAGGAGACTGAGACAGGGGAGTCCCAAGCTGGAGGCGAGCCCAGGCAAAAAGGTAGTGAGAGTGAGGGTGGAATGATTCAAGTGGAAGAGTGCCTGCATCAGGTCCTGGGTTCAAACCCCCAGTACCACAAAAAAAAAATACAGGGAGTAAGATTGTTTTAAAAAAGCAAAATGAATGCAAAAGGACTGAGTACATAGCCCAGTAGTAAGTGCTTGCCTAGAGTGCTGGAGAGGCCCTGGGTTCATTTAATTCCTAGTACCACAACAACAAAAATGAAGAATGTGAGTTCTATCTCTTTCTTTTTTTTCAATATCTGACATTTTTCTTTTATGAACTCTAGACTTTCTGTGTCAGCTTTGAGTGAAATGATTATTTCCTAATTTATACAATTCAAGGAAAGAGTGTACTAGTCTTCACAATCAAACAAAAATTTGCCAGTGACAAACTTCAGTAAACAAAATTAAACAAAAAAAGAAAACCTTGGAAGTAACTGTATTTCCTGACTTCAAGTAAATACTGTTTCATGAATAAAGGATCCATATATTTATTTATACCATTAATATCTACCCAAGCCAATCTTCTAGCAGAGTGTTACAAGTAACAAGTTGGCTTGGCTAATTTTATTTCCCCTTCCCTGCCAGGACAAACTGTCTTAAGAAAACAGTGCCTAAAAACAAGAGAAAAAATGAAAAATATTTACATGAACCAAAGTCATTCTTTCTCCTATATGAGCAAACCCTAAAAGTATGTGATTTCTATACAGGCTTAAACATGACCACACTTTGAAATAAATATTTGACAGAGTAAAGGAAAAGGTAATTAAGCTCACTTACAAATCCAGACTTAGGGTTTACAGCTGGAGCTGTCCAGTTCTTCAATGCATTGCCCAGGTTTCAGGGAATGAGTTTCTCAGGCTTTGCAGTCCGAAGGTGTATATGGAGTGTCTGCCTCTTAAGTATGGCAGTAGTGGGCCTTTGTAGACTGTTAACAATAGCAACAACAACACTAGCACTCTGTCAACTACTTCAGACCCACCGCTTAAGGAGTCCACATGGCACCAGGATGGACTGTTATGTCATTCGGTTACCCTCCACCCTAGAAGTGGGGAAATGGAGCTGGGGTGTAAGATCCCATGGCTCTTGCAGATCCTGACAATCAGTCCCTGTCAGACCAGAGAGCACATTCCACAAATTTTGAGGTCTACAAACGTAATTCTTAAGATGCAAGTGCTCTTCCCAGAGTAGAAATTGAACGACGATACACAATATAGAAGTACCTTACACAAACAAATTCCTATGCTGTTATTTGAGTGGAATTCCAAAAATTGTACACTTTTGACAGCATATATAGCAGGTATTTAATAAATACTTTTTGGGTTAAATTCATAATTACTTAAGAGTACTAATTCCTATAGAGCTTTTTTCTGACCAGTTTTTATAATTATAGACTAAAAAGGCAATTTATAAAATGAGCTGATTGAAGTTAGAAGGGGCAGGCACAATTATATTTTGGAATCTTTTACAGTGGAAAATAGGTTTATGAGAGAAAATTGGCTGAGATCATTTTCCTCCATTCTCCATTTGGTTTTTTTCGTATACATAATCTAGAATAAACTTTTATATAATGTTAACAAAAATGCCCATAGTGTGGATATTTTCAGGTCTCTTCAGGAAGTATTATAATTTTGATAAATCACTAAATAAAACATTATTTGAAAAAATCCTTCATTTTTAAGTGCAGTGGTTATGTAAACGTTGACTGCTTTCTTTTTTATGAATTCCACTGTAGTTCACATTTCTGACCAAGAAGGTATGGTGGAGGATTATCAGGAGAGCAGGAACATTAAGAAAAGAGAAAGAATGAGAGAAACCTGAAAACAGATCATCAAACAGACAGCTGGCTACAAAATTAGTGTTTGCATAGTGTTTTCAGTTAGTTAAAGTCACTTATACTTCCTCTGCTATTGCCACATTAACTTTAATTCTGTTTTTACATTCACTCCAACACTAAGCTGTCAAAGTTTTCACTATGTATGGGTAGTAACACATAATGAAAAGAGCAAAGATTTTGTACCTCCATAGATGTAGAAGCAGAATGACCTCAGCCAATTAACTACCTCTGGCACACTGCTCAAGGCTCAGGATCCTTGGTTTTGTTATATATGAGATGAGGCTAATAATGACTTATATAAGAACAGGATTGTTAACTATAATAAGTTAAATAATTAAGAGTATTTAACAGAGTAGGAATTCAATGCGTTAGTCTCATAGAGAAGACATATCTGGAAAAAATTAAACAAAATTTAAGACACTGAAATAAGTGCCAGGCAAACAAAAGCCATGTTCTGATAAGCCATGCTATTTCTATAGCTCTCAGAATTCCCTGGGACTCTTGCCAATTATGTAGATTTCTGGATCCCAGGTCAGATCAGCCTTACAGGGTAACATCTCTGAGGTCTAGATTGAGGAAGCTGCAAATCTGCATTTTCTACAACAATCTCCCTAATTGATTCCTGTAGCCACTAAAATTTGAGAATCTCTAAGAGAAGGAGTAAAGAATTCTATCAGTAAAGGATCCAAGAGGAAGTGAGTGGCACATCCAACCTAGGACAACACTAGGAGAACTGACCTGCAAGCAGGGGGAAGGGGTTGAGACAGAGAGAACCAGACTGAGGAGCTGCAGCTAAAGCAGAGGTGCAGAGCCTGGGAGAGGGAGCACTGTGCACAACAGCCTTCCTTCAGGGAAGCTGTGACTTTTGGTTGAGCAATAGAGCCAAAGCAAGGCTAGGTGGACAATGGGAGCTTTCTGGATTATAAATGCTGTGTTCTCACTTTTCTTTCTTTCTCTAATCTCCTACTGAGAATTCCCACTGGTCAGAAACAACTAGAAGCTGGAAGACCCAGGAGTCCTGCTGAGTTGTCTAGAGGTTGCCACCTGGAACAGAATGCCAGTGGCAAAGGCTGGGGCTAACTGAGGGGCAGAAGGGAGATGTGTGGCATGGAAAAGAAGGGAGGGGTGGCAGTGAGGGTGGAAAGGCATCACAAATAACACAGCTGTTGAGCTTGAGAATGACTAAAACATTGTTACCAACAATAGTGATGATGACAGTCACTCTATTTCCTGTGTTTTTATTGTGTTCTACTATTCTAAGGACTGCCCATGTGTTCAGTAGTTTAACCTTTACTATTGCCTCATAAGAGAAGTTCAACTATTGTCCCAGTCTTATTGAAGAATCTAAGGCAGGGAAGATTATCATTCCTGCCCAAGGCCATAGCTAGTTAGCAACAATTTGAGTTACACAGAGAAGCTGCCCCCTGGCACTGTGAGGGCAGTTCTAGTACCCTGCTCTCTTAAAAGATGATCTGTGGAAGCAAAGGAGGACCCAAACTAAGGCAAGAATGTGAGCAAAGGAAGAGGAGAGAAAATTGTCCAGCGTTCAAGGAAAAAATGAAATATGGTGGTATGGCCAGATAGTAAGGGATCTAGAAAGAAGGAAGTTTCAAACATCACACCTTGGAATTGCTCTTTTTCATAGCATCCCTAGGGCACTCCACTGCCTTACAAAGCTTTTGAACATGCTGTTCCCACAACATAGGCATGAGCTAATCCCTGGACATTAGCTGAACTCCACATGCTGAGCTGGAAGACAGCTTTATTGTTACTCACAAATGGAGTATCACGGATCCCTGGTTCTTTTTCACCTTTCATTTCTTGCTACTGATATAACTTTTTATGTCAGGAGCAATAGAAACACAAACTCAAAATATCTCAGGGCAGTGGAGGTAAAAATAGAATGTAATAGTAAAGCGAAGCAATCTTCGTCACAAATCTTGTAAAGCAAGCCTGTTGGGGTTTGATCTCTTCATTCAGCAAACTCATCCTCACCCAGGCGTGCTCACATGTAAACCAATGACAAAAAGACCCTATCCTTATGATTAGATTATTATTATGTCTCTCTCTCTCTTTCTTACAAAGATGAAGATAACAGCTCCTCACATAGGCTGTCTGAATTTATAGCTGATTTTGTTGGGGCACTGGGGAGGTATAATTATGCAAAGAAGATATATGTGTGGAAGGAGTTACATAGGACAGGAAAGAGACAAGAGATGAAAACCTTGCCTTAACCTTCTCTAATCTTTGATTCTTTCTGCCTTCTGCCTTCCCTTCCCTCTCATTCTCACAGCCTCAGTCAAAATATGAGGATTACTAAAACTAACTAAATAAAAAGAAGAAAAAGAAATGCTGTATCACTTGCTTGGGGACAGGGGCATGTTCCATGGGCTTCAGTGGTAAGATATTTTATCAT